CCCATCGGTGGTCCCCGACACTTTGTCCCGCTGGCGGTCCTCGACACTTTGTCCCACCGGTGGTCCCTGACATATTTTGTCCCGGATACCATTATTTTTACTTAGTCCCATGTGGCCCCTGGTGCCTTTCCCCCAAGGTGTCCCACGTTCTTTAGGCGTCTACCGCCCTATGGTGGCCCCTCTCCCTTGCTTTTTCTTGGGCCTTCCATGCGCTATTTTTCTCCGGTCGCGGGCCTCCAACCTGAGGCTGCCATTTAATTGTCGTAGGTGGCCCCTAAGTTGGGTCTTTATTCTCTAGCGTCCCACGGTCTCCGTTAATTGTCGTAGGTGGCCCCCATGTCTGACCCTTATTCTCTAGCGTCCCACGGCCTCCGGGGCCGTCCATTTCTCGACTTCCTCATTCTTTTGTCGTTGTCGTGCCTCGTTTGCCGGTTCAATGGCCCCTTGGCCTTAGTCTTGCTAAATTCCGACGACCCTTTTGGCCTCATGCTATATTCTATGTGCCCCTGTCCTTATGCTTACTCGCTTGCCGTCGCTGATTCTTTCCCCGACGGTTCCTGACCCAGGGCATTAATCTTCCGATGGCCTAGTCCCTTGTCTTTTCTCTCTCATTCCTCCTAATTCCAGATTTTTATGTCGTGCACAACCTGGCTATATACATTCTCTCGAGTGACGGGATGTTATTCGGGACCCACCAGTCCCGGTACATTCCCCCCACTAATTCGCTATGTCCTCATGCCGCACCAATCTTCTGTCAGTGGGGGTTTGGAGGGATAGACGGGAGAGGAAGACAAAATGTCATAGGTGGTTAGTTTGCCAGGGTCCGTTTTGTCTTTCCTTGTTCCTTTCTCGGATTTCTTCTAGTCTGCAATCCTTGGAGCGGGGAAGGGTTGTATAGGATTCAAGCTTTCCTTGTCCTTCAGGCATCTCATGTCTCATTCATCACACTTAGAACGTCAGATCCCTGTCGTCTCGTTCATCACTCTTAGAACATCAAACCCCTTTCGTCTCGCTCACCCTCAGAGCAGTAGATCTCTTTCGTTTTGTTCATGACCCTCAGAGCATCAGATCTCTTTCGTCTCCTTCATCACCCATAGTACATCAAACCTCCTTCCAACTCTCCTCTTCTCGTTGCCCCTGATTCTCCCCCGAGCCTTGCCATCCCAAACGCCCTTTGGTTGATCCTCCTTCCATCCTGTGCCAACCAGGTCCCTTTTCTGGTTTTCGTCACCCTTAACGCCTCTTCTACTTGGCTCTTCGGCCCGCACAATCCATGTCTCCCGTCACCCTTTCCTCAATCTCAAGCCCAGCCAAATTCACATGTATTTCTTCCGGATCATTTTGCACGACTTTTCTCTAGTCCTGCCTTTTTCACATGCATGTCTCCCTTATTCGACCTTTCTTGTATCCATGCTCAATCAGTTTTGCATATGTGTTACCCAGTCCATTTCGTATGCCTTTTTGCTTTTGCTCATTCTGCCAGTCCTTTCTCAAGCCCACGCAAAGTCAATTACACCTGCCTTTCTCTTCTGGTCATTTTGCCAGGCCTTTCTCAAGCCCATGCAAAGTCAATTAAACATGCCTTTCTCTTCTGGACATCTTGCCAGACCTTTCTCAAGCGCGTGCAAAGTCAATTACACATGTCTTTACCTGTCTCTTATACACATCTAGATGTGTATAAGAGACAGGTCTTTACCTCTGGCCATTTCGCCAGGGCTTTCTCAAGCCCATGCAAAGTCAATTACACATGCCTTTCTCTTCTGGACATCTTGCCAGGCCTTTCTTAAACCCATGCAAAGTCAATTACAAGTTCATTTCTTGAGCTCATGGTAACCTTATCTTTTTGCATGCTTCTTCATCGGTAGATGGCACGCCTTCCCCCCACTCAAAATGCGATGTCCCCATCACACGACTGGTTCTCACTCGGAGGTACGCAGACCTTGGCCCACGAACTGAGTCAAGAACAACAGCCCACCTGCTCCTAGAAGGAAGGGTGATCGGTCCTTCCTCGGCAGATAAAACCTCATCCTTCTACTTAGTCCGACCTTTTGCCGCTACGAGACGGGCGTCATCACTGAGGTACCACCTCACCTTTGGTAGGTAGGTCCAGTCCAAACCTCCCGGGACTCCGTATTGTCGTAAAGGCTTTCTCGCGAATCGTTCCTCCTGAGTGGTGTTTTCTTGGATCCGGCCTCTTTTTTTCAAGAGAGTTGGGGATCTCTATTAGTCTGCGAGTGCAGTTACGAAAACCTCGCAGTTAGTCCCGGAGCGGTTGTAATGATCCGGCAGGGCGGTTGCACTCGCCCTGTGGTGGATACAGATTCCACACGGTACCACGTTCAGCCCCTCCCTTTGGACAGTGTCACTCAACTTAACGCGAGCGGCCTTGGTTCATCCCAAACAGCTACGCCGCCCCTCTACGGTATGGCGTGTGGTTGGGGAGAGCAAATGAGACTTAGGGAAAGAATGGCTCTCACGCTCGTTTGGCTCCATGCCCTTTACGTTTAGGTTCTCAACATGAGGCGCAGTTTGAACTCCCCGACTAGAGCTCGTTGTCGGAATTAGTTCCGGACGGCCCGCATCAATCCAAGAGAAAGGTGTCTTGGTTCTTCAACCCTTACCCTTCCTTATGAGGGATAGGTCGCGCTGAGACTTTTCCCTTGACGGGTAGAGGTTTTGGGGTTGCGGTGCATGCCCCCTCTTGTTGAGGTCTGGGACTAGAAGAAAAAAAAAAAATTCCTTCATGGTCGGTCTGACGACCTTTCCTCAAATTGCCTAGGGTCCCCTGATTATGCAATGCAACATCCAATTCTCAGGAAAACGCTCAATCCAATTTCAGTTCCAAGACCAATTCTCATGGCTGGTCCGACAACCTCTCTTCAACAAGGCCACCCCTTGTGGTCGCTCTGGCGGCCGCTTTTTCAATTGCCATCTTCCAAGGCCGACCCGTCGACCCACCTTCAATCCTCAACTTTCACATTCCCCAATATCCATTCTTATGACCGTCCCAACAGTCTATGCCCTTCTCGACTTAAGGCTCGGCCTCCTTTATCCTGCCCTTCTCATTCCAAGGCATCATTCTCTTTCGGTCAATGACCGAGCCACCGACTTTTTCTATTTCACATTGCTCATTCCAGGTCTTTCTCAATCAATCCTTTCTTAGTCAGTCATGCAGGGGACCCCAATGCCTATTTCAAAAGAAATGACCCTCGTCAGGGGCCATTTTCGAATAACCTGGTTAGGGTCATTTGTTTCCATTCTCAAATCGAATAGCCCTCTCAAGTCGAATGGCCTGCTTAGGGTCATTCCTTTCCATTCTCAAGTCGAACAGCCTGGTTAGGGGTATTCCTTTCCATTCTCAAGTCAAACAACTTGGTTAGGGTCATTCCTTTTCATTCTCAATGTTAGCGCCCGAGGGGGTGGGCCTCGAGGACAAGGATCTCATTTCTGTCTCGGGGGTTAGAAGGTGGTTATCTCTTGCAATTTTAAGCGTGCGGTTTCCTTTATCTGTTTCTCAATATTATTTGTGGTAAAACATCCGACTTAGCGCCTAGTTGCTCGAATTGAGGCTCACAACCCCAAGCAGCACTAGCCCACCCGACCGTTCAACCATAGCAAAAGATTGGGGCGCCCCCTCTATTTTCACTGTTTCTGGTCTCTCAGCTCTTGGCTATTTTCAGACTCATTCATGACTCAGTTGGATTAGGCTCCTAGGGAAGGAGTGTTCCTCACGCCCCTTAACCCATAGGTTCCCTAACCTCTCTTGTATTCGACCAATCATGCAATGCCTTGCTTTGCTCGTCAATCTGCACTCGCAATTTCTTCTCAAAGGTACAATCCTCGTTCCATCCAAAGTTCACAGTACACCTTCCCAACCAGTCTCATCTCATGCTCTGTGTCATTGTTTTGCATACACTCTTTCGAAGGTAGCTCGTTTAGAAAGTAGCATCAAAATGCTATCTTCTAACTCATCGTGGCACAATCTTAGCTAGTCTTCTCACCACTTATCCTCAACAAGCTTGCTCATACTATACACATTCTGTCGTTCCAATGTTTGCAGACGAAAAGGCACAATTCTTGTTCAATACTAACAACATCCACTCCCTATCGTTGTCGCGTATCTCATCTTGCTCGGTCCTTTGCCCATCTTGTCTTTCCGCTGGCTTTTCAACTCCCAGGCCGGAGGCCATTATTTCTCTCTTCCTCTTCGCAATTTCTTGCAATTCCCTCTCACTGTAGAAATTCAAAAGTGTGGCCGCCAGCCGTGCCTCCGCGAGTTCCATGGTCTTGATAATCCAATCATGCTTGATCACATTGAGCCATTGTTGAAACCAACGACTGGGCGTTGGCCCAAACTTATCTTCCCATCTGAAGGCTTCTTCGCGCGGCTGGCGCATCGGGGGTCGCCTCTCTTCTCCAGGCCTTGAGATTTCATCCCTCTCATCGCCACTGCTGATCTCTATAACCTTTTGTACTTCCTCCTCCTTATCCACCTCCTCTTCCGTCCGTATGGGGCTGAACTCACCCGTGAAGTTCTTCGGATCCAAGTTATAGGGAATCTCTGTCCTCCTCCCATATCCCTCTTCAAAGTCCGGGTATCTCCCTTCACAACTTCCATGACCGCTCCGCTCTTCGTGCAGACTTTCTCTTCTCTCTTCCCCGTCTTCGCGTCCACCGCACGTGTTGTGTCTCCCCTCGCTGTTCGCATTGCTCGGCCCCTCCCTCGTCAGAGGCCTGAGCCTTTTTTCTCATGTGCTCTTTGCCCCCCTCTCCCACACTCGCCCTTTCTTCCTCGCTCTCACTTCCGGATGAGATATATATGCCTTCTCCCTCCCGGAGAGGCGAGGGCCTTCTACACGCGCGCTTTCTCGCTCCCCTGCCTACCACTTGTTTGGACGCGAACCCTATGTACAATTTTCTCTTGGCAGTCCTCCGCTCTCGACTTGGTCCCACCCCTACCCCTTCGGTAGGTCTGTTGATTGCCCCGCTATCATTCTCGTTGCCAAATTCCATTTTTACTTTTCTCGTGCTTTCTTCCTGGCCCTGTATAACAAAATCAACACCCACCAAGCCTCTCATACACACGTTTCCCCAGTTCGGTAGGCAATTCCCCTTCCCCCAGAATGCTCTCAGTACCCTTCGCATCATGCCCCTATTATACATTCCCCTCTCATGCAAATGCCATATTTGTAGTGATCCCATGATTTTCCCATCAAGAACTATGATACAATGCTCCCGATAATCTTTCCCATCGTCACACAAAGCCCGTTATCACAAAGTCCCAGGACATCCCACCTTCCAACTTCAGTCAGTCCAAACCATTGCCCCATCCCCAAAAAAATGACAGTCCCACAGACGCAGTCAGAGACAAAACCATAGTGTGGGCAAGGCCGTCGTCAGTCCTTAGCTTGTATAGCCCCTCAGTTTCCTTATCCTCGGCCTCCTGAAGCCATTGTTCCACTGGGTCCCGACTTAGAAACCTGACCAATCGTTGCCCCGGGAAGGGTCCTTTCAATCCAGTTCCATCCAAATCTTCCAGTTCGAAGGTGTTCAGTCCCACCCGCTTGGCGACCCGGTAGGGGCCTTTGAACCTCTTCCCTAGTTGTCCAGACCAAGTACTTTCTAGTGTCGAGTTTCTTAGCAATATCGTCTCCCCCACCTGAAGTGGCTCCTTTCGGATATTCTTAACCTGGTCTCACCTTGCTTTGTCCCTCATTCTGCTGTCTAGTACCCGATTGGCGATGTCTTCCATGACCTCCTCGTTCCTAAGAACTTGCTGACATCTTGCCTCAATTAATTCTTCTGTGGTCGTACGCGGATCGTCATCTAGCCTGTTCCAGGTAGGCATCAAAGCCTTCACGGGAAAATCGATCGCTCTTTCGTACCAAAGTTTCGTTGGGATACATCCCGTCATCCTCTTAGGTGTCATGTTCTCCGAGAAGACAGCCTGCTTAAGATACCTGGGCCAGCTCCCCAGATTGTCCGCCACGAGCTTCGCAATTGTGTTCTTTAAGGTCCGGTGCCCCTTTTCCACAGGTGCGTTGGCCTCCGGGTGATACGGCTCGATGAGTTTGATCGGTACGCAGAGCCTTTTAAGCATTCCCAATACTCCTTGGTTAACAAATTTTGTTCCATTGTCTGCTAGAAATCTTCTGATGAAGGGATGTCTGAGATAAAAATCTTTTATCCAATCAGCTACACTCCTCCCCGCCTTTCTTTTAAAGGCGACTACTTCTACGAACCCACTCAAGTTGTCTCGTGCGTCCAGGATAAACCTGTATCCATCAGTTGACACGGGCATAACCACGAGGTCAAGGTGGACCAGATGTCCTGGCCCCAACACCCGTGTTTGTCTAAGTGGCTCGAAGATGCGAGTCGAGCTCCGTTCCTGGCAGATCAGGCAGGTCTGGCAGTACGTAGCGACCATACCTGCCATGCCTGGCCAATAGTAGAGGGGCGTCATCTTTGCGAGAGTTCCTTTGGACGATCGATGTCCTCCTGCAAGTTCGTCGTGCATTACCTGGATCACGTCTAACTGGCATAATGCCTTCCTCCCTCCTGAATAGATGGTCGCTCCTTAGGACGTACCTCTCGGCCTCCTCCCTTGCCTTAAAGCTGACTTCCATGGGTTGTTTGTTTCCTACTATCGGCAATCCGATCTCCCGAAAAATCCCTTCATATATCTGAACATGGAAAAATTCCCTTCCTTCTTGGTCCTCGTCCTTTCTCTCCTTCATCTGGTTTACCATCCACTGCAACTTTTTTCGTTCCCAAGACTCCATTAGGCTCATCACGGCTTCGCGGCTTCCCTCAACCGCCATTGCTATCAATTCCTCCTTCGGTCCTACTATCGCTCCCCACGAATCCTTCTCCTCCTTGCGTCCTCGAGTGGTGACTAGTTCTTCTCTAAGCTCTGCTACTACGGCCGGAGCCCCTTTTTCCAAGGTCAGGATTAGCAATTCTCCCGACGCGCATTCTTCGCCCATCATTCCATTATCCACTGCAAGTGTCCCTCCTTCGTATTCAAGGAACGCATCTATGGGCTCCGCTTCGTCCACTCCTTCGGGCGTGATACAGATCCGACTCAGCCCAGCGGTCTTGTTTCTGAGTACAGGAATCCGTTCGATCTTGTAATCGAACTGCCAGATGAATCCTACCTATTTCCCCACCGTCGGGTCTATAGGCTTGTAATTCTTTAGAGCCCCCACGACATTCGTTGGGTCGATTCTTAGGATGAACCGCCTCCCAAATAGGTAGGCTTGGAAGGTCTTGAGGCAATGCAAGATGGCTAGGACCTCCTTCTTGAACTGTGAGTACCACCGTTCTGTGGAGTTCAGGGTTCTACTTTCAAACCTAATTGGCCTCTCTTTTCCTCTCTTATTCCTTTGGATCAATACGCCTCCTACGGCTAAGGGTCCCCCGTCTGTCTCTAGGATGAATGGCCGTCCCACTTCGTCATTAAAACAGGGTGCTGACAAGGCGACTTGCTCAGATGTCAGTATGTCCTTGAGGGTTTGGACGGCTCCTTCTCGCTCCTCCGTCTAATCCATGGTCCCTTCTTCTCTGATCATGACCCGGATAATGAAAATCCTTCAAAAGTCGACCACGCCTAAGAATATTTTTACCTCCGTTGTTGTGCGCAGGGATGTAGGCCGCTGTGATATCTTGTTTGTCTTAGCTGGGTCTGGTTTCCTATCGTATGCGCCACAACGAAATCCCAGTATGGTTACTTCCAGTACTGCTAGAATACTCTTAGGTCCGATAGCCGTGATGTTGTATACTAGGAATCGACGGAGTACGTCCTTGATGTCCTGTAGATGGTCCCACACAAATCTTCGAATTCCTGGCTGGACTTTTGTCTCGTCCTTCTCCTGGGCGCCTTTGATCGGGTTGTCATCGATGTAGGGTTCACACTTCTCTGGAAACATGTCTCCGGCTACAACGAGCATTCTTCTTTGCGCTTCGGCTACTGTGTCCGTAAAGCCCATAGGGGTCACCTGCATCTGCAATTGGCCCACGGGGGTGTGCATTGCGGTGTACGGTCTGTCCTGAGCATCCAATGGAAGTTGGTCGTACCCTGAATACAAATCTATCAGAGAGTAAATGCTCCGGCCGGCGTGAGACTTTGCCAGTAAATCGGCCTGAGGTAGTGAACCAGCGTCCCGGATGGTTACTGCATTCAACTTTTGCAGATCCTGAATCCATCTCAGCGTCTTGTTGGGTTTTCGAAAGACGAACCACCTGTTCGCGTACGGTGACGCCGTAGGCTCTGCGATGAAGGAGTCCATCTTTGCTCGAAGGAGTCCATCTTTGCTCGAAGGAGGTCTGTTACTTCCCCTGCTATCCCAAATGCATAGGACGAACCCTTGTCATTCCAGCACTCATGCTCTATTGTGTGGATTCTGACCGGGGGAATTAGCTTCGCGTCTAACCGCCCCTTTTGGTGATCACTAAAGGCAAATGTCAGATGAAACTCCTGGCACGTTCTTTTGATCAGGAGGGTTTCTTCTTCCGTTAAGAATCCCTTTATTCCTATCTTCATTGTATCAGCTACCTCATCTGGTATTCGATGCCCTTCCGTTGCTCGCCTCTCTCGGATCACTCGGAGAACCTCCTCCTCGTTTTCAATAGCCTCTTCCTTAGATGTCTCCAGCAGGATCGAGACCGATTTTGCTTTCTTCCCTACTGGCTTGTACTTTTGAACACTTCCTTCTAGGATCTTTCTCCTAAAAAATGAACAACCGGGATTACTCCAATTGCCTCCGCGACCCGTGGTTGAATACTGACTATTTTCCCATCCAGACAATACCCCTTCTGCACTTCTCCTTCGAACTTGGTCAGCGTCGTCGGATCCACCCTTACTTTGTGATACCTGATAGCTTTGATGAGTTGCAATACGTCGGGGATCTCGAGCGCGGTTTTCGGTACCTCCTTCTGCACTTCTTTCCGTCTGGGCAGACTGACTCCGAGTTCGACTTCTGATTCCCTTTTTGCCACCATAACACCTAAGACTTCGTCCTCCTGTCTTCTCTTCTTTTGGGGCAGGCCCATCTTGATCCATTCTTTCTTATCGAATGCCTCCTCAATCAGAATTTCTACCCTTTCTCTCATACCCTCCATTTGTGCAAAACACCCCTTCCATGCGCTATCTTTAAACGACGGCGACCACGTTGCTAACTTCCCCTTCGGAGGGTCTCCTCCCGTCCCAAGGAGTCGGAGAAGCTCCCCCCGGTTGGTCACTGGGTCCTCTATATCTACCATGTACGTGCCGTCGTGCAAGTGCATGGTTATCATTTCTACGTTGGCGCACCATGGTCTCCCGAGGATTATGTCGTGGTCCATTTCCTCCGTTACTGTCATCCGCTGAAACGACCAGATCGACTCCCTGATTCCTGCCTAGACTGCACATTTCGTGACATACCCAACGAACGAAATTTCCCTACCGGCTCCCCGGATTCTCCCTGTTACTTCCTTATTTACCGTACAGCCCGTGATTGTTGCGAAGTCTCTTCTTATGAGAGTGATTTCCGCTCCCCCGTCTACTAATGCGTCGGTATGATGAGTCCCGATCTGGATTTTCAACTTTCCTACGGGCAGTGCATGGAAGCTAAGCTTCGTCTCGGGTGGTGCCCTCATGACCTCGCCACCTTCTCGGTCCGGCAAGCTCAGGCGGATGTCCGCAAAGGCCTTCTCTAGATCCTCCAGGTCCCCGTGACTCCTTTGAAGGTTAGCAATTTCTTGCGGAGCTTTCTCCTCCCTTTCCTCTTCCGGTGGTTCAGGGCTTTCGTCTATCTCCACTTGCCGCAGAGTCAATAGTTGTCTAAGCCCTTTGAGCAACCTAGGGCTGACCTGCAATATGGTCTGAAATGATACGGACACCATTGTTCCTAGTAATTTGCTAAGGGTGAAATCCATCTCGGGCATGGTTAAGATCGGTATTTGGTACCTAAACTTTTTCTTAGCACCGGTGACCTTGTCTGTAGATTCCTCTTCCCTTGGCTTCCCATAAACTTTCTCTGGTTCCCCGGCCTCGGGCTCTGCCTGGGGCGCGGAGCCTCCAACAACCTCCTCCATCACGGTGTCACGGATAATCCTTCTCCCAGCCGTCCCGAGCCGAGTAGTCGCGTTCACCCTATCACGTTCGTCGCTTTCCAAAATGAAGTTGACCTGCGGCCCGCGGCCCCGGAGTTGGTCCCAGATGATATCGACCACCGGCTCAGCTTCTACTGCTGTTATTTCTAACCCATTGAGCATTATAATGGCGCGCCGCATTCTCCCTGGCGATATCCAATTCACCCGTTCTCCCTGTGGTCCGAATATCTCTCCTTTTAATGATTTGGTACATTATGTCTCATTTCAATGATCTGGTACATCTCCTTTTTAATATATCGTGATTGAGCTTCGGACATGCGCGCACAAAATGTTCTACCGCGGTGCAGTACTTGCATTGTTCATTAGTGGGATCTCTTCGACTGAATCCTCGGTTGGCTACTCCTGCCGGAACTACGGCTTCCTGGGGAGGGAGGGCGGGTCGGGATACTTGCGCCTGCATAACCATCAGCGCATTCTCCACCCTTTCAATCTTACCGTCGACTCCGTGCACGCGTTCATGTAGACTTTCGATCCCTTTTTTTACCTTGTCGCCTGTCCTACCGGTCACATCTATGACTTCCCCTTCCTTAAGCAAGGCCAATGTCTCGGTCACTACTGTCTTCTCGGCCAGATCCGTTACCGTACTGAAATCAACATCCCTGGTGTTTACAAATTTTCTCGTTTGTTGGTAAGCCGACAGGATCTTGTCTTTGTCGAACTCGGAGAACTGCCTGAGGAAGTATTTGCTCATTATCCGGTCCGTAACCCCGGGGATCCTTAGCGCTACCAGGGTAAATTCCCGCAGGAAGTCATTGTACGTTGCAAAGTTCTTCCTTTGAACCGCCGCCAAATCGGCCTCTGTCACCATTTTCTCTGCCGCCAGGTATTTCCTCATCATTACATCCCGGGTCTCCTTCCAAGACCGGCTTGCGGCCACAATGGCCATTATGCCCCGACCTAAGCTCAACGACACATGCTGTCCTAGGTGGTCCATCTTCTCCTCTTCGCTCCATTTCAACAACACCGTCAGGTTCTCGTATTCTATTAAGAACTTCGTGATGTTTGCCCCGTCAAATGTCAATTTCTTCTTAGCGTCCGCGAGGTAGCTTTGGTTTTTGTTTAGAGCTCGCGCGAGGGATGATACTATCTTCCTGAGGCCGCCTTCGGAGCTACTGGCCTCGCCCGCCGTACTGGTATCCTGTCCTTCCTTGTCGGTGTAGGGCCAAACCCCAGTAGACTTTCGAGCCTTAGTCGACCCCACTTCGGGTCCCAGTTGGCTCGGCCCGCTCACACTCATGCTCAGGGCGTGGGCCATTCGTCCCAGGGTCACCCCACCAAGTGCTTTGAGATGGATGGGGGTGGGCCATCGCACGAGAGAGCTTTGTCATTGGGGATGTAGCTCGACCCTCACGCCGGGTGGTAGTTTCGCTGGTCATTCGGTAACGTTGATTTTTTTTTTTTCTCGGTTCTGTTCTCAAGCAATTGCTCCTTCCAATACACGAGCAGTCCAGGGATTCTTTGAAGGTTTTTTTCTCTTGTGCGCAGGCTAAGCGTCATCCTTAGGCTGCACACTATTTCCCTAAGCATTTACATTTTTATGGCGTCATCGGGGCGCGGCGATGTCGTCCTCCCCCTCGCCTCTACACACCCCTTGAGTCTCACGCATCACATTCATCCTTATTGATGCAAACCCCTTAGTCTTTTTGGGGACTTTACATGCATGCATACACAACTTCACATTTCCCTTGGCAAGATTGCACCTCATTCTCTCATTTACACTCCAAGTCTCAAACACAAAGGTCACTTCCATGGGTTGGCTTTATGCTAAGGGTCCCGTAGCCCCTTTGCCCCTCTTCCCTTTTCCTTTTGCCGCCCGGTTCCTCCCGGCCCTATCCCGCTCAAGGCATCCCTAGCCTTCACTTACCTGCACAGTCCCACACAAAGCAAAGATTCATACAATCCCCCATTGGGGTCAACACATAGCCCTTCCCACATGCCTATTTTTCCATGTTCTTTGGCTGCTCTTTGTTCCCTTTCTTCTGTTCAATCATCCCATCCTCTTCTCATAGTCATGCAGTTGGGGAAATGGTTGAGTTAAACTGACCTTGCTTCTACTTATTACTCTCTCCCGGATTCCGCCTGCCTCCAACCTTTCAAATGTCCTTTCCTTTTTTCCTTCTTGGCGGCACAAGGGACCGACTACCCTCCCCTTGCCCTCTTTCTCCACCAAGTGAGGTCTGATTTTTCCTTTACCGTTCGTTTCCCTGGCAATGTGACAAGTGAGGCATGAGGGGTTAGTCATATGCCAAGTGAGGGGGAGGGAGAGAGGGAGCAAGATGAAGAGGGGGAGAAAGAGAGAGAGAGAGAGAGAGAGAGAGAGAGAGAGAGAGAGAGAGAGAGAGAGAGAAGAGAGAAAGAGTGAGGGAGAGAGAGAGAGGGAAAGACGGAGAGAGAAAGATAGAGAGAGAGAGAGAAAGGGAGAGAGAGAGAAAGAGAGAGAAAGAGAGATAGGAGAGAGAGAAGAGGGAGGAGAGAGAGAAATAGAGAGAAGAGAGAGAAGAGGAAGACTTCTAGTCCTAATCAAATCATCACGACGTAGTAGGAGCCAAATGTCGGTCACCAATCCCATAGTGGTAGCAGCCAAATGCCGGTCACCCATCCCATAGTGGTAGCAGCCAAATGCCGGTCACCCATCCCATAGTGAAAATCCACCAAGTGATGAAACGGAACACTAAGATATACATGAGCCTGGCAAGGAACTAGTGGAACCCATTCACAAGAGTAGAAGAGCGACTAAGTATGAACCGGAACATCACAACACTCACGAACTTGATAATTTGCAGATTGAACTTAGTGAAAAGCATAGGCACATGAAGGAAAGATCAACTAAGTATGAACCGCAACATCACAACTCATATGAACTTTGACAATGAGAAGGTTGGACTAGCGAAAAACCCATGCACATGGAGGAAAGATCAACTAAGTATAAACCGGAACATTACCACTCACATGAACTTGACAATGAGAAGTTAGGACTAGTGAAAGGTTCATGTACACGGAGGAAAGTTTAACTAAGTATGAACCGAAATATCACTTTTCTCATGAACTTAACAATGAGAGGGTTGGACTAGTGAAAAGGCACATGCACACGAAGGAAAGTTCAACTAAGTATGAACCGGAACATCACAACTCACGTGAACTTGACAACGAGGAGATTGAACTAGTGAAAGGCACATGCGCATGAAGAAAAGATCAACTAAGTATGAACCAGAACACAGGAGCTTGAACTAGTGAAGAACACATGCACATATAGGAGAGATCAACTAAGCATGAACCGGAGCACTACAACACACATGAACTTGACAATGAGAAGTTTGAACTAATGAAGGGCAGATGCACATGGAGGAAAGATCAACTAAGTATGAACCGGAACACTACCACACACATGAACTTGACAATGAGAAGCTTGAACTAGTGGAGAGCACGCGCACATGGAGGAAAGATCAACTAAGTATGAACCGGAACACTACAACACACATGAATTTCACAATGAGGATATTGAACTTGTGAAAAGCACACGCACATAGAGGAAAGATCAACCAAGTATGAACCGGAACACTTCAACACACATGGACTTGACAATAACACATGCACATGGAGGAAAGATCAACTAAGTCTGAACTGGAACACATGAACTTGACAATGAGAAGATTGAACTAGTGAAGACCACATGCACATGTAGGAGAGATCAACTAAGTATGAACCGGAGCACTACAACACACATGAACTTGACAATGAGAAGTTTGAACTAGTGGAGAGCACACGCACATGGAGGAAAGATCAACCAAGTATGACCTGGAACACTACAACACACATGAATTTGACAATGAGGAGATTGAACTTGTGAAAAGCACATGGACATAGAGGAAAGCTCAACTAAGTATGAACCGGAACATCACAACACACATGTACTTGACAATGAGAAGTTTAAACTAATGAAGAGCACATCCACATGGAGGAAAAATCAACTACACTTGAACTTGACAATGAGAAGATTGAACTAATGAAGAATACATGCACATGGAGGAAAAATCAACTAAAGTATGAACTGGAACACTACAACACACATTGACTTGACAATGAGAAGGTTGAACTAATGAAAGACACATGCACATGGAGGAGAGACCAACTAAGTATGGGCCTGAATATCACAAGACACATGAACTTGACAATGAGAAGATTGAACTAGTGAAAGGCACATGCACATGGAGGAAAGATCAACTAAGTATGAACGGGAACAGTACAACACATATGAACTTGACAATGAGAAGATTGAACTAGTGAAAGGCACATGCATATGGAGGAAAAATCAACTACACATGAATTTGACAATGAGAAGATTGAACTAACGGAGAGCACATGCACATGGAGGAAAGATCACTACACATGAACTCGATAATGAGAAGATTGAACTAACGGAGAGCACATGCACATGGAGGAAAGATCAACTAAGTATCAACCGGAACACTACAACACACATGAACTTGACAATGAGAAGATTGAGTTAATGAAAGGTACATGCACATGGAGGAAAGATCAACCACACATGAACTTGACAATGAGAAGGTTGAACTAATGAAGAGCACATGCACATGAAGGAAAAATCAACTAGAGTATGAACCGGAATATTACAACACACATGAACTTGACAATTAGAAGGTTGAACTAGTGAGCGGCACATGCACATGGAGGAGAGATCAACTAAGCATGAACCGGAATACTACAACACACACACAAACTTGACAATGAAAAGATTGAACTAGGAAAAGGCACATGCACATGGAGGAAAGATCAACTGGGTACAAACCGGAACACTACAACACATATGAACTTGACAATGAGAAGATTGAACTTGTGAAAATGAAGGAAAGATCAACAATGTATGAACTAGGACACTACAACACACATGAACTTGACAATGAGAATGTCGAACTAGTGAAAAGCATATCCACATGGAGGAAAGATTAACCAAGTATAAACCGGAGCACTACAACAGATATGAACTTGACAATGAGAAATTTGAACTAGTGAAAGGCACATGCACGTGAGGGATAGATCAACTACACACGAACTTGACAATGAGAAGATTGAATTAATGAAAAGCAAATGCACATGGAGGAAAGATCAACTACAGATGAACTTGACAATGAGAAGATTGAACTAATGATGCTCATGGAGGAAAGATCAACTAAGTATGAACCATAACACTACAATACACATGAACTTGACAATGAGAAGATTGAAGTAGTGAAAGGCACATGCACATGGAGGAGAGATCAACTAAGTATGAATCGGAATACTACAACACACACGAACTTTACAATGAGAAGATTGAACTACGAAAAGACACATGCACATGGAGGAAAGATCAACCAAGTATGAACCGGAACACTACAATACACATGAACTTGACAATGAGAAGATTGAACTAGTGAAAGGCACGCACATGGAGGAGAGATCAACTAAGTATGAATCGAAATACTACAACACACACGAAGTTGACAATGAGAAGATTGAACTAGGAAAAGGCACATGCACATGGAGGAGAGATGAACTAGGTACAAATCGGAACAGTACAACACACATGAACTTGACAATGAGAAGTTTGAAGTAGTGAAAGGCACATGCACGTGGAGGAAAGATCAACTACACACGAACTTGACAATGAGAAGATTGAACTAATGAAGGAGCACATGCACGTGGAGGAAAGATCAACTACACACGAACTTGATAATGTGAAGATTGAACTAACGAAGAGCACATGCCCATGGAGGAAAAATTAACTAAGTATGAACCGGAACAGTACAATACATATGAACTTGACAATGAGAAGATTGAATTAGTGAAAAGCAGATGTACATGGAGGAGAGAACATCTACGTAAGAACCGGAACACTATCATGTGAGAGTTGAGCCATGCATGTGAGTGAGACTTGCTCAAAC